GGGATGCGAATTGTATTGTATGTGGTGTTTGATGAAAGGTTGTTTTTCGAATGGCTTTTTGTCCTCCATGAGAACAGTGGTTTTTTGTGCTGTTCAGTTTATTACCCTTATATTATATTCTTCTTCTCCTTCTTCTTCGCCTTCTTCTTCTTCGCCTTCTTCTTCGCCTTCTTCTTCGCCTTCTTCTTCGCCTTTTTCACCTTCTTCTTCGCCTTCTTCTTCGCCTTCTTCTTCGCCTTCTTCTTCGCCTTCTTCTTCTTCTTCGCCTTCTTCTTCTTCTTCTTCTTCCTCTTCTTCTCCTTCTTCTTCTTCGCCTTCTTCGCCTTCTTCTTCTTCACCTTCTTCTTCTTCGCTGCCTTCTTCTTCGCCTTTTTCGCCTTCTTCTTCTTCTTCGCCTTCTTCTTCTTCTTCGCCTTCTTCTTTTTCTTCGCCTTCTTCTTCTTCGCGTTCTTTGCCTTCTTCGCCTTCTTCGCCTTCTTCGCCTTCTTTGCCTTCTTCTTCTTCTTCGCTTTCTTCTTCTTCTTCTTCTTCTTCTTCTTCTTCTTCTTCTTCTTCTTCTTCTTCTTCTTCTTCTTCTTTGCGTTCTTCTTCTTCTTCTTTGCGTTCTTCGCCTTCTCCTTCTCCTTCGCCTTCTCCTTCTTCTCCTTCTCCTCCTTCTTCTTCTCCTTCTCCTCCTCCTTCTCCTTCACCTTATCCTCCTCCTTCTCCTTCTCCTTCTCCTCCTCCTCCTCCTTCTCCTCCTCTCCTCCTCCTCCTCCTTCGCCTTCTCCTTCTTGTTCCTCTTCTCCTTCTTCTTCTTCTTCTCCTTCCACTCCTCCTTCCTCTCCTTCCTCTCCTCTTTCTTCTCCTCCTTCTTCTCCTCCTTCTTCTCCTCCTTCTTCTTCTCCTTCTTCTTCTTCTCACCATCCTCCAACCCCCCACCCTCATTCCTAAAACCCTTGAACATGAACAACCGAATAAAAATGTGAAACATACAGAATGATGCATATCCTACTTGTGCAGCACCGGCACACACCCACTTGTTTCTAAAGAAAAAGAAATTCCCTTCCCCAGTAATCACTTCGCCAGATTGACCCTGGCAGGTTTCCAAGCCGCAAGGGCACGGCTCGCCAGCCAGGTAATCCAGTAAATAAATAAATAAACAAAATAACAGGATTTTACACAAGAGGCTTGCCCTATTCTAGGGAGAATTAATGTGGTTTCTTTCCCAATGGCAAAGTAAGCAATGTTATCCTGAATCTACTCTTTCTAGAATCCCCCATTATGGCCATCGAAATTCTCAGTATCGTCCACTTTTCTTTCTTTGTTCTTAAGAAAAAAGTCATCCTCTAGTCTGAGAAACTGCCTTTTCCCCCTCTTTTCTTCTGTACACAAACTCTTTGTTTGAAACAAAACGCAAAACAAAACAAAACAAAACAAAACAAAACAAAACAAAACAAACAGCTACATTGCCAACAAGGTGAGCTTCCACATTATTAGGAATAGTTATCAGTTCACAACCTGCCAACAGCACTCACGAAGAAGAGGTACAGATTTGCAATCTTTTGAAAGCAAATTTAGAAGACCAACTCATGCTACATACCAATGAAAGTCCAGAAGGAGAGAAAATAACAACAGCAGCAAACAAATGGCACATGTAATTAAATACTAATAATACCTTTCTCGGCCTTTTGGCTAAGATCAAGTGTAGTATCTGTTCTGATCAGTAATATCTGATCCGTGGTCCATCGGTCCACAAAAAAAAAAAAAAGAAAGAAAAAGGCACTTGTAATGACCCGCCAAAACACAGACGGAGAACACTGCTGATTTCTGAGTTTTGCAGCTGGAATGTATGCCTTGCTGAGATTCCCGCATTCCGCCGAGTTTTCTGTGTGTGTGCGTGCCTGCCGGTCTTCAAAAATCAACTGAAGGTGTCCATGGACTTTACTATCACAGCAAAAAACACCTCCAACGCCAGCAAAATTTAACCGGAGCTCGACCCTTCTGTCCTGCTGCTCAGGGCAAGAGGAGTAAAACTCTCAAACTCATCACTGTTATCTACTACGGAAGACCGTTTGAAAAAATGCGAGTACTACCGCAGCCACACAGTAGAAAAAAGAAAAAAGAAAAAAAACGAAAAGAAAAAAAAGAAGAAGAAGAAAAGGCAGAAAGATAAAAAGACAAAACCAAATCTGGGCTATCCACAAACGCTACCTAAAAAAGGTACGGCTCAAGCCCTGTTTCCAGGACCCGTGAGCCCAGTCGAACGTTTCTCTGCCCGGCGGCTAATCGAGGCCCTTTTCCATTTTTCTCTCTCCAACACCCAGTCCCACATACCCAAGTCCCTTCCACCTCCTCTTCTACCCACCCACCCTCCCTTAACCCTAGTTCTCCGGCAATTTATTCAGCAAATGCACCTGTGTTTCCAAAATTTTGTGACTTCTCTCTTCGCCATCGTTCTCAGACGTGCTGCAAAAGTTTCCCTTGGGTACTCTAACCCCTGCAGTTCCTACTAGAAAGTCAGCAGGCTCCACCAAGTTGTGAACTTGGTGTTGGTGTCAACAATTATGCGGATTGTACTAGAAACAGCGGGAAATTTCTGAATCCACGGAGCGTACGAATCAAAGCTCCTCAGGGTTACAAAACGCCCTTTGTCCTTGAGTTTTGAACTTGTGAAAGGTACGAATCCAAGCAGGTAGGTCACTGATGACCAACCTAGTCTCCAGATATTCCAAGATACCATTCCCACCGTCCGTTCTCTCTAGTACCGGACCCTTGTGATAACACCCATCAATACGGTCCAAAACCTTTTCCAGATTCTCAAGCTCACCTCTCTTCGTTCTGTCATACCACCCAATCAACAGCAGGTCATCAATATACCTGTTTCCTTCAATGAAGCGCGCGTCTGCCCCAATGGATGTGATGAATTGTTGCTCTGCATAGATGCACAGAATATTGGCAAGAGTAGGACTCGCTCTCCCACCCATCGGGATCCCTTATGATTTGCTTAAGCAGTTGCTTCAAAGAGAAGAAATACGTGTTATCAATTTGGAATTTTGTTGGTCTCAATGATTTCCAACCAGTTTCCCAGTGTGACTTCCCAAATGTCGCCTTCTTTCCTTTGCTCTTAATCCTCAGCCATGAGTGTCCTTTGTCACGAAAGAACAGCACCAGCCACTCAACGGCCGTAATGACTGCTTGATTTGGAACTTTTGTGAACATCTCTTTCACATCGTAGGTCCTTGTAACATCCCACAATCGGTCCCAAAGCAATCATTTGCTTTTTCATTTATCATTCTTACTTTTGATTTCAGGTGCCTACCTCCTTCTAGGTTGAAGTGCCTCAGTTTCATTCTCATTATCAGAAAATTCAAGCCTTTTGCAACGTAGCCCATACCACAGTTCGTAGGACTCGAAAAAGATGGTACAATTGGCCGTTTCTTTTGAAGATCCTTATCCTTGGAAAGGATATAAGCCCCTTGTAGACACCCTTTATGGTCCCATTTCGCAATCTTCTCCAATCCTTTGCTTTTGTAACTCGCACTCAGATTTCTCAATAAGACAGTCTCATTCTCTTCAACTTTCTCTTAACCCGGGTTCTCATTATACATTTTTATTTTCTATTTTTTTTTTGGCCCTTTCATACAAGATTGGGCATTCCATGAGAGCCACACCAGGATTTCGGTCTAGTGGTGAAAAAGCAAGGCCAAAAAAGGCTTGTTTGACACCCAGCACATACTCTGTGTCACACCCGATTGCCCGAGACACACTTTTTAAACAGCACTCTTTCCAGTTAACAACAAACTTTTCACCCTTGTCAAGGCACTTCATGTCTTTCAATGGTTCTAGAGCAAGGTTACATGCCTGATTCACCTCTTCCAGTCAGCAAGCTCCAGGGAAAAGGAACATTCTTCAAATTCATAACAAATTCCTGAATCCCATTTACCTCACCAAGCTTCACTTGAACATGCCCATCAGCCCTGGGCAGTTCGAGGCCATCACAAGTCCAAGGCCAGCCACTTCCCCTTGCAAAGTACCGGTGATTATGCAGAATGTCCCCGAATGATTTCCTCTTGAAGGCCTGAGTGTGTGTGTGACCCGCAAGGGTAATTGTTTGTTTGGAGGCCCCGCAGGGCCGGTATTTACCTTTGGCCGTGACTTTGAGGGTTGCAACAGAAACACTCAAGTAGCAGGGGTAGGCCCGCGACACTTAGAGCAGCGGAAAAAACACTCAAGTAGCAGGTAGGCCAGTACCACTCAAGTAGTGGTACATTTTTCGGGTACTCGAGAGCGAGCAGAAGAAGACAAAAAGTCGGCATTTTTAGAGGCCCGGTAGCAGTAGGCTAGAGGTAGGCTGGTACCAGTCCAAGTACCCTGAGTCTCGGACATGTACGTACAATATCAGAGCCTGCAATGATGTTTCCCTCCGAAAGGGAGGAGGTACCGGTTGCTTGGAGGCCACGCGGCCTGGAAGTCACGGCCCAAGAGGCACGTAGGCCGCTATATCTTCTGGAGGAGTGCGTAGCTCCTCCTCATTTGCCGTGTGCAAGGTTGGGCGACATACTGCTTGAGCGGGTGCTGGACTAAAGAGTGCTGCCTGGAGGATGAAGGAGAGATGGGCGCTCAAGCCTGGCTATGGTGAGCAGCTCAGCTTGAGAAGGAGGAAGAAGGGGGCGAAGGAGGAAAGTGGCGAGGTACCTACCTGGCTATGATGGGCACCATGTTCAGCACCTTGTTATGATCTTGGCCAATTTTGAAATACACATTCATGAGAAAGTACAATGCCGTCCAATTGCAAAAAGAAATGAATGAACTTGAGAGGAGAGAGAGAGAAGAAAAAGAAGAAGAAAGAAAGAAAGAAGAAGAAGAAGAAGTACACCAGCAAAGACAAATGATAATTCCCTTCCTCTTCGCCAACCACTCTCCTCCTCCTTATCTCCTCCCCTCTTATTTAAACAAGAAATAATAATAATAATGCTGAACGGCTGAAGCAGAATCAATGTCTGAATCCCTCTTCTACTGCAGATATCATATAGGGTCCACCCTAGCCATGGCCACCCTTCTCCTTCTTCCTCCAAGGCCGAGGCTATGCTGTGCAAAGGACAACACAAAGCAGCTATGGCTGCTCCTGTTCATGCCGTCATGCCTGACTCTGCCTCAAAGCTTCTTGGTGCATCTCTACCCCAGCGAGGCCTTCCAGATGCAGTGCCCACCAAGGTGATGAAGATGGTGTCCACCATAGCCAGGTAAGTACCTTTGGCGCTCCCCCTTCCAAGTCCTCGTCTTCTTCCTCCTCCTATCCTTGCTCCTTCCCCAGCAGCGCTGCTCTATGCTAGCACTGCTCCAGCAAGCGCTCCAACCTGTGTGTCGCCAAACTTGCACACCAAGAATGAGGAGCACTTCACTCCTCCTGGAGATATAGCAGCCTGCTTGCCTCTTGACGAGTGACTTCCTAGGCCATGCAGCCTCCAAGCAACCGGTACCACCTCCCATTCGGAGGGAAACATCATTGCAGACTCCGATATTGCCCGTACAGGCCCTAGACTCAGACTGGTTGGACTGGTACCCGCCTAGACCTAGCCTACAACTATTGGCCCTCTAAAAATGCCAACTTTGTCTTCTTCTGCTCAGCCTCGCGTACCCGGCACATCTACCTCCTCCTGGTGTGGTACCGGCCTACCTGCTACTTGAGTGCTTTTTTCTCTGCTCCAAGTGTCGCGGGCCTCTTTCCCCACCACTTTAGTGTTTTCCCCGCTGCAACCCTCAATGTCATGGCCACAGGTAAGTATCGACCCTTTGGGCCTTCCGCACGGACAAGTACCCTTGCGGGTCACACACACACTCAAACCGACGAGCACTCAGACAAGCACACAGACCAGCAAGCAAGCACACACTCAGACTTAGAAAACTCAGCAACAAGCAGGAAACTCAGCAAGGCATACATTCCATTGGAAAAACTCAGAAACCAGTTGTATGTCTCAATACATATTTGGCAGGTCCTAACACTAACCCCCTCTCGACCTTTCAAGCGAGTAACTCATTCTGAGTCCTCGACAATGCGTCGAGAGCAGAGGGACTGCATGGATGAGATACACAGGCTGGGACTGAGACTTGGATTGTTGGGCCAGACCTGACGAGGGGTTTGGTCTAAGATTGGGACTGAGTGGATGTTGCAAGGAAGAAGAGTCGATATCCTGATCACAATTGCATGAGTTGATGACATTTGCGCGCGGTGATTGAACCACGAAGGGTCAGTTGAACTGATCCTTCTAGATTTTGGGAACAACATCGGAAGTTATCCGCCATTCGTATGCTTTCACCACGTGAGGTGCACTGCACAACAGTTCCTTTTTAAAGATCCAATTGAGGTCATCCAACGGGTGGTACGTGAAATGGACGTGATATTATCTGTTAGGTCCCTGCCCCACGTGATTTTTATTTATGTTGATCTCGTTGTCGAGCGCATCGGCCACCGTCTTTTTGTGAAGCGCGGGATCCCTCCCGGCCATGTCACGTAGGAGTAAACAAAACGAAAACAGAGACAACTCGGGAAAGACGCAAAATAACCCCGCGAACCGCCGAGACGGTCGCGGTATCGTCGTCCATTCCCCGCTCTAGCCGGGTGCACCAACTGTACATCCCGCGATCCCCTACGGCAGGATAGGTTTCCGCGGGGCATAAATTTTCCTTCCCTAAGGGGTTGTCATCACCCTTAGGGGCATATCCCTACCGAGCTAGTGACCCATGTGCGAAAGCTTTGAGGTAGATCAGTTGAGGGGCATTTGCTCGTTCGCTGTAGTATAGATACTTGGTTAAAGCCAAGTGGACCCGAACGTCGTTCGTTCCTTAGGGCACTGATCTCCTAAGTACGAAGCGGACATCGGTCGACTAGGACGGTCTCAACCAAGCGTGCTACCCAATTCTTCCTAGTCCCTTAGACACACAATCAAAAGAAAGTTGTAACAACCATCCATAGTTACATCGAAAGGAATCGACCGTAGTCGATGGAACGGTATATCGAATCTGAAATGATAACTAAAAAAAATTGAATCATCATTTGAAATATCCAATAATACAATATCAAAATAAACCTCAACCACCTCGGGCCGAACTCACAAACAATCGTACAACCGCTAATGAGGAGTTGGCTACTGACAATAATCTTGATGCAGCCGACAAGGTAGTCAGACGACCTCAGTTTGGACTTGATGAGACATGTTGCCAAAATCATTCATTTCACCTACCGCCAATCTAAGATTAAGCATGTAGACCTGTCTCCACGCATTCTTAATCTTATTGAATGATAGACTGCTTTGCGGATGATTCTTGATCATGTGCATTGCTTGAAGTGTTGCATGCCTCTCCCTCTAGGAAGTGATCTGGGGTACTCCTCCTCCTCGCGCGAGCTTAAAGCTCGGATCTCAGAAGTCGGGCCGTCTCCATCGAATCGGGAGAGTACCCCCCCGTAGAACGGTCCACTGTGGGTCGATAACAGGACCGGCTCCTGAAGCAACGAACCCCCGCCCCAAATGCTTCCTAGAAATAGAGGACGTGCCCACTGCAAGTAACTTTCAATTATTCTTATTCTTCAGAGTTCAGGGTCACTTAGACGAAAAGAAACAGAAGAGGTAAGGAATGAGAGTCTTTTGGACAGGTATAAACAGATGAGGTCCTTCGGGATAGAACGGGTGAACCTCAGGAAAAACTAAAACCTCAGGACAAACTAAGTCTTATATTCTTCATTTTTCATTATATTGACAAAGTTTCTTTCACGGTACCCGTTGAAATCATTCACCTCAAGATGTAAATGCTTTTACATACAAACAGGCGAAAGGTAGAAACAAAATAATTTTTTTCCTTCTCTCCAAATGACAAAATCAATCTCCTTTTCGAGCATCCTTCTACCTACCTGCACAACACGTAAAAAAAACAAGTTCAAAAGAAAACTAGTGCAATCCCATACACAAGTCAGACTTTTTCATTCACATGCATAACTCACACAATTTTCCTCTACCTTTTCAACGAACATTCAATGAACAGGGTCAAGCAAAGTGTGGGTTCATATAGGTGTGGTAGGAAATCTGAGTCAATCAACTGACTGACCTTGAGTGAAGTTTGACGACAGCTCACTCAAGAAAACCGTGTAAAATCTCGTCCAACACTGTCGCAAAAGTCAAAATTTCAAGTGAATCGCAAGTCCCTCAGTAGTGATCACTTCGCTGCAACACCACGTCTCACCAATCTCCAATCACTCAAAGATTTTTTTTTATTATATCGGCAGCACTTCCAGGTTACTGTCCAAAATAAAACCAGCAGCGCTTCCGCACCACTGCCACACACCTCCGAAAAATCCGGCAACGTTCCCGCATCACCGCCGTTTGCTCCAAAAAATTTCGGCAGCGCTTCCACGTTGCCTCTTACCACCAGAATTTTTATTTTTTTTGCGGCACTCTCACATTGCCGCCGATCCACCACCCCAATGCCCAGCACGTTGGCTATGGCGACCTCCTTTCTTTTTTGGATATGGCTGACCAGTTATGGTTGGCCCTCTCCTCCGTCGCGACAGACTCTCGGCCAATCTACCAGCATTCTCCCCCTTACTACGGTGGCAGTCTGGCTATGGTCGTTCTTCAACAGCACCTCCCCACAGCTATGGTTACAGTCCACGACTATGGCTGTCGACCTCCTCGACCACTAGCAGCAGTTCCCCTCAACTGCAGCTGCAGTCAGCAGCTATGGCTGCATTCCAGCAGTGTTTCCCCTCAACTGCAGACCTTCTCCTCAACTCCTCTCTCAGCTCCCTCTCTTTCTAGCAACAACACTTCCAGGCAGCATCTCCTCCCAGAAGCTGACCAATACTCAATTAGAGTAAGGGCAACACCTCAAATGTGTGACGCAGTTGGGTGGAATGCTGACTTTTATAGCCAGCTGGGAGTTGTGGGCAGATGCTTTGCCCACAGTAAAAAAAAACGTAACTGTTCTGAGCCCTTGATCCGGACCTATGATCAAGGGTCAGAATCATTGATGTTCCCCTAGGGGAACCAGGGCCTTTCATTCCCGGAAGCACCTGGCCTCTTTCTCAGGCTGGGTACTCCTGGAATGGTTGTACCTATCCAGACTGCAGCCTGTTCAAAAAAACGAACAGGCGCAGTCTCATCAGCCCCTAGAACATCCTGTGGCTGCATCTGTTCCGCGGCCACGGCCACGTACGTGGCCATTATAATTTTTATTTCCTTCTTTTCCCTTCTTCCCTTTTTTTTGTCTCCCTTTTTTTTTACTTTGATTCATTATTTTCCTAGGGTCAGGGAGACTCGTCTTCAAAGAATGCCGGGTGCGAGACGTTGTTTTGCAGCCCGTTCTTTCAAACGAACGGGTGCATAACTCGGCCTTAAACCACCAGTACCTCCCCCATTGTTGGGAAATTACGTGATGCTCGCCAGTACCCGAACTTTTCGGCGGTCGGACACAGGGTCGGCAATGTCCCATAAATTGTACTTTTCTTTTGCTCGTGCACGAAAGGAAAAGGAAAAAAAAAAGGCCTTTGTACTGCAATGATGTCGGACACAGCGTCTTCACTGTCTTGAATGCATCTCACCACAAAGACGGTCACATTTTGAAACTTGTTGTTTTCTCTGTTTTATTTCTATTTTGTTTGTTATGTGTCCTTTGCCAACGAGGCAGGGCGGAATCCGTGATCTGCTCTAGTTGTGTTTCATATGATTGTAACCCTGATGTATCCAGCCGTTTTCAAGGCCGAATCCGTGTTTCCGTTTTTTTTTTTTCTTGTTTTCTTTTTCTGGAATCTGACAATCTGAATCAGTGATCTACTCGAGTTGTGATCCCTCAGAGGATTGTAACCCTCATTACACTGGCACTTACAGGAATGTATCTTGCCATTTTCACGGTCGAATCCGTGTTTCTGTCTTATTTTTTTTGTTTAGAGTTTCAGGAATCTGACAACCTGGCCACGGGGCTGAGATGCCATCACTGAGGTCACACTCACACTAACACTTCCGAGAATGTATACAGCTACAATCACGCCCAGAGCTTTGTTTCTTTTTCTTGTTTTGTGAGTTTTCACGGCCGCAACTTTTTTTTTTTTTTTTTTTTTTTT